ACCAAATCATAAACTGTTTTACTCTTAAAATGTAAGATAACGTCGTTTAATGATATCAATATAATTGACCACTGTCACCTTAAAGTAAGTAAAGGTCTTTCATATTAACAATCCTAATATACAATTACCTTACTATTATGTGTGTGAAATATCGAACGTCTAGACCTTTCCAAACTTGAGAAGTTTCTGGTAATTTGGTACCCTAAATGGCACTTTTGAACTTTGACCCCTACCGAAAACCGGAACTTGACGATTTACACAAAAATGTTCTATGAGAAGTGCCATTATTTCCAATTCCAACATATCCAAAGATGATTTCAAAATGTCACGTCAATATTGAGATATTGACTTTAGGCCAAAAATCAAAAATGGCGTCATGCTGGCCATTTTCCCCACAAAGTTGAAATTCACGTAATAATTTAGAGGGCACGTTACCAAACTTATTCCATAACTACTAAACAAAATTTCATTGTAGGGTTTTGGACTAATTTAAGTTCCAACTTTTTGTTTGCACTTTGAAATAGTGATTTTTTTTAAAATGACGTTAAACGTCCAAGAAGGACGGCACAGAAGAAATGTAGACACTAAAATGATCGTATTCACATTCTGTGTTGTTTTTTTCTCTCTCTCTCTCTATTTTTAGGAGACATTGACCCCTTGCTGAGCTTTTTTATTTGAAATAATTTCTATATACATTAAGGGAAAAAAACGGTTATATATTACCCTCCTCTACATAATAGGGTGAAAAGCCCTAATGAATCTACATTTAGCATATTTGAGTAAAAACAAACATACGCAACGATCTCGTGTAATGAAATTAATGCGTAAGGTGTTGATAAAACTAAATATCGGTATTTATCCTGTAACTGGCACTGCTTGCACCTGGCGCATATATTTTTGCTGTATTCGAAAGTGACGGAAAATCACAAATATCACATTTAGAAATATAAATATTTGTTGAAATAAACGATTTTAAATGTTGTTATAAACATGTTGATCTATAAAAATTCATGAAATCGCTGTTATATCCGATGAAGTTTGGAACTATGTTTCCATGCGGAGCAATCAATTTGGCGTCCGTCCTCAGGCAAATTCAGCGTAACGTCATTGTCAGGTAAACACAGATTGAACAACAAAAAACTGTTTAAGTTACTATAGTCTGATTTTCAATCAATGTTGCAGAATAAATGGAATATATGGTCAATGTTTAAACAAATAAGCTGTGTTTTTCGCCAGAACCTCGCCACTTTTGTCTTTCTTCAGCCTCGCCAGAATACAGCTCACGATTGAGACACTAACCATGTATTCTCTATTTACGAGAATAGGGTTGACTAATTTAGAACTGTTTAGAAGACAATGTAAACATGCAAAACAAATCTTATTTCAATTATCTCGTTCATTCTTTCAGAAAGTGTAAGCAGGGCATTTAATTACATACGAGTTCCGGTTGTTAATAGTATATATTTTTTTTATCAATGATAGTGTGAGTACTTGCCTCTATATATCATGTTTCATAGACCGGAGGGGGGTGATCTTACGATCAAATTATTCGGAAGTTTCTGTCGAATAACGATAACACTAGTGCATGTATATTGTGTCTTAAGTAATGTTATGACCAGCATTTTCTCAAACATGTTTTAGGGAATAAAATAACGTTCATGTCCGTAGTCATTTCGTTATTGTTTCCGTAATGGCAAATATGCCAATTACACAATTCATTTGGGAGGTACTCCAGATCTCCGTTCTCTTTTTACCGAACCAGTATATTTTACATACTCTGATCTTTTTCCTCGGCTCTTATTAGCTTAACTCTTTTGTTAATTGGCAGCATTACATACAGTAATGCCATGAAAATGGTCGGGCTGTTAGTGTTAACTTACTCGCTTTTTACATAGGTATGACATGACCTTCTAGACAACCTGGCATTCCCCGAGTAATCCCGTTTCCCTTACAGTAAAAACACATCGAACACTTCCATCCAGACCAACGAAAGTATATATATTTTGAAAGCTTAATTCGCGGATTTGAAATCAATAACGATTAAAATTAAGATCATGAACGAAGAGATGCATCATCATTTGGACCACTTTTCGTATCAATGTAATTTTATTTCATTGTCTTTTTTTTTTTTTTTTTCACGAAGAGTCGTGTACAATATTCCTTCTTACGTGTTACTGTACCGAACTATCGAGCACGATTGCTGTTCATATATAAAATAAATGCCATGCCATGGCCATTATTGAAAATTCGTGATATGTCACTATCTCAAAACCCTTTTTCCTGTAGCAGGATATCAAAGGACAATAGTACTTATCAAGTACGGTTCATAGGAGAAAACGTTTGTGTTGGTTTATTCTTACATGCTGTGACATCCATGAGCTCTATCTGAAAGTTGATATTTTCTCCTCAAATCCTCCCGTCCTTCTCCCTTTAATGTTCACATCATTGAATGACACAGAACAGATCACATTATATGTGGTGAAACAAATCTAATTTGATTTTGTGTTGTTCCAGACAAATATACAAAATTCTACTGGAAAATACAATTTAAAATAAAACCTAGTCTGTAAGGTAATAGTCATTACTGTCTGGTGGCGTTAGGATTTCACCTGACTGTAAATATTTTTCACTTTTGAATGTTATTAAGTTAGAAATACTACCTCTGTCCTTTAACGTCATATATTACGATTCTGCGACAATATGAGTTGGAAAAATATCACTTTTCAGTTACGATCCGATTGGCTGTTTTGTAATGTTGCGATGTGATACTCTAATGTGATACTGATATGTAGATATATTTATATATATAGACTATTTCAGACGGTGAATGAAGCTGAGAGTCACTTTGTGTTTACGGACTGCCGATTCGCCAACAGGTATGTACAGTGTGTTCTGACAATCTCTTACTACAATATTCCAAAGCAAAGCTTATTTTCATTTCTATCTTCACTTTATATTATGTATGTCTTTTAATCTTTTCTACATTTTGTATGTTTTGTTTTGTAGTTATAAATACTGCTATATTTGAGCCCATCATTTCGTGTCATTTACGTTTACTTTGCACGCTTTCTTTAAAAATAAGTAGTCTATTAGAAATTTGCTGCAAATTTTCAATCGAGTTTATATCGAATTGCCAAGCATTTCCATTCAGCAAAAAATCTCAAGATAATGGTTATTATAAGGCCTTGTTATTTTCAATATATCCTGTATGTTATAAAATGTTATAATGTTTGAGGAATATCATTGTATATTAGTCTTTACGTTATATTTCGTTATGGATGTTGAACAATAGATTTCATTGATATTTTAAGATATTACTCTAACGAGATCCTAATGCATTGCAAGAAGATCAATATTATCGCAATTACCGAAGATAACTCCGACTGGACCGTTTATTCTTATTTTATTTATTTATTTAGTTTATTATCATCATTTCATTTTGGTTTTTGTTTATATTTCAAATGAAAATTTATCAGAATATGACATGTTAGTCTTCCGGTATTTCAAGTTGACATAAGTCATTGTTTTTTATTTCTTGGTGCACTGATATTTATTTATTGTCAGAAGCAGCATATACGAACTTCTAGTATAGCACAGCACTCGAAAAGCATTGGAATGAATTACGATCGATTATGATACAAATTTCTTTAAATCCAAAATATCAACATTCAATGACCGATACATATTTCATTTACGAAAGCATCCTTTTACAAACTGAAACACAAAATATAAAACACTAAAACGGAGACCAATATCCAAAGATAGCCCTAGTATAATATAGCAATAGTAGCGTAGGTCAAACTCAACGAATTAAGTTTTTTTTTTTAAATAACGTTTTATCGTAAAGATGAACAATAAAAGGGAGAATTTGCCATCTAATTTATTAGTGTTTCTGATCAGAAATATTGGTACTGGTTGTGCTATGGTACCAGCAGTACAGAGCAGGTTTTGTTGTAACAGCCATTATAAAACAGCTTTGCGCTCGTCTAGGACTTTCCCGTACATAAAATCAACACTTTGCTGCCTGATTACCTTTTCACCAGGGACAGAAAATATTTTCTCCTTTTGTTAAAATACTACATTTTGCCATTTTCCCAACTATCTTTTTTATTTCTGTATTTTGAGTTATTATTTCACAACTTAAACATCAATAAAAATGAGTATACCTATATGTATATATTGCTTACAATTTGCCAGAAAACTGGTCGTGCATTTATATATTAACATCTAGAACATCTGTTTGATGAACCTTATTTCATATACATTTGTATCAGCCTTTTAAAGTCCAAGCTGTCTTTAACCTTTATGAAGAATGTCTCTTCTTTCATTAGAAATATTCCGAAGTGATTAGTATACATGGTAAACAATAGCAACGACAACAAGGAAAATGCCAGGTGATGGTTCCGTTAGTATGCTAATGTCCTCATTACAGATCTTAACATCACATACCTGGATTCACCGATATTTATGTCTCTTTATTTTGCCCCATGTTCATCGAATTTGAGATTAATTATGACAATATCGGTAATTTCATTGTCGTCACTATCATTGTTTTTATCAGGGAGTCGGTGATATGAAATATTTTGTCAATGGGCTGTAAGAAAATATCAACAAACTCAAACTCAATAAAACTAACACAAAATAGAACAAAAGAAAGGTTTACATTGAGACTCCTGAAAATATAAGGATTTTATATCCAGGTGTTCCAATTTGATACGGCGAAAAGAAAATATGGATACTAAGTAAATCATAAAATGAATTCTTAAAATGATCAAGGACTTTTTGTAGAAGTGATATTGGTACACAATAATCATTTCTGTTGTATTCTGAAATATTCCTATGCTACAATTCAACAACCCTGAATAACTTACATACTTAACAATAATTTGGACGATGCAGTGCATGTAGTTCAATCATCCTTCTAGTTTGTTATGCTTGTTACTAAATTCTCGGACGAGAACTATGATCATTTTTGTTTCTATTTATAGGATTTCATCGCCATGACGATCGTCAATATCCTTATCACCCTGACGGTTTTACATTTGACAAGTGCGTTTTTCTACACTAACAGTAAGGAAAATGATTTACCACGTATAGGAAAACGCCACCATATATACTGGTTTGATGCTTTGGGACGGTTTCGCAAACCCTTAAGAAGTGGAAAAGAAGCAAACAGTCCACTAGAGAATAAGGAGCTGCCACAAAGTCGGAAGCGGATCAACGAACGAGATATCTTATTATTTTTGTCGGGATATCACAATTTAACAGGTAAGAACACACTCTATCTATTTAAATTAGCCGATATAACACTAATCTGAAATACCTAGTATCTCGCTGTTCAGATTTTCTGCAAATCACTTTTTTTTTCACTTGCTGTTACATCTTGTGGTTCATATTTATTGTCATCGGTGTTTCTGTGTAAATAAAGATGAAATTTTAGGATAATCAATGTTAAACTGAAATAAGATATTTCAAATCAGCGCCGTACTTGTTTGTGCATATCAAATTACGCACAATTTCTGCCAAATATACCCAACTTGTCATTTTTACCTATGTCTGCTGGGAAATCAAAAATGGTGGACCTTGCATGTATGTCAATGTAAGATGGAATTCATCTTTGGAATTTATTCGATATGTCATTAGTATTTAGGCGACTGACGTTTAAAATCATTTATTCGGCACGAATGTAATATTCTGTTTATCATATAACTCATATTTATAAAGGATAAATGATAAATTGATTTTCTAAGAAGACAGATTTTTTCGACTTAGAGTACACATTTTTGCACTACCAAATTATGTGATCTCATGAAGAGGTGGTTAAATCTTTATGTCACCAGAGTACACATTTTTGCACTACCAAATTATGTGATCTCATGAAGAGGAGGTTAAATCTTTATGTCACCATAATTTCTGACATGGCTGTAAGACATGGCCCAACAGGCTATTGATGTGATAAACTTTATTTTTGCATTGCAGAGAACCGAGCGCGTTGAGGATGGTGATGGCAACCCTTGTTAACAGCAATGTCCCTTATAAACTGAAGACCATATGTACTTCGTAAATACCTCAAAGAAAAATCTTGTAAAACAATACTGAAATCAGAATAAAAAAGAATCATGATTTTTTATTTTTTAATTTATTGTCAAAAGGTATACAAAGGATTAGGCATAAGTTATCGTAACTTATCAACGCCTTCTCCCAATATGCATTTTAAATGACATTACAATACTGACAATACACATATATAGTTAGTGTTACTATTTTTACATCAAAGTCAGAACGAAACATGAAGGAAGTAACACTTTCATGGTTTGGATCGTGTAGTGACTCTAACTATAATTGACAGAAACAATGAAAATTTATCAAAGAAAATACATTAACATGTATGCAGGTATCAATAGATCATTTATAATTCATACTTGAAATAAGATCACTGGTAAGATTGGTTAAAATTAACATTGAATGTCGATATAAGTAGACAGTATGGCCAATGTCTGGACAAAACGCAAAACCCACGAAAAGCATTGGTTTTGCGTCTTATCCTGGTGACGCGTGTCGACAAATAATATTTCATGAATACACATAATTCGTGTTAGTTGTGAATAATGGGGTGGGGGAGATAAAAGTGAGATGGGGAAGTAGGACAAGCCAATAATAAAACAAGAGTATCGAGATGGCCAAACCTGGAAAAGCAAAGTTTACAACGGACGGACGGATGGACGGACGGACGGAACGACGATAATACCATACCATAATACGGCCGGTAAACAACGGGTGTATAAAAAGAAGAAATGATTTTGTTTTAAAACAATAGTGCCAGACTTTAACTAAGGTAGTATCCCCCACCCATAGTGCACAGGTAGCAATACTATACAGGCACTCATATTCCTTCAATGTTACATTAGAGACAGACATATGTATCATAATACACCTGCGATATGGTATTAAGAAATCAAATCTAATTGTTGACAATAAATCATAAAAAAATACACACGTGAAAAACTAATGAACAGTACGTGCTGATTTAATACTAACGATTTGGTTCACTGAAGGTCATTACAATATCTTGGAGGCCCGTTACTTGTTTTCAGAAATGACCTGTTCATAAGTAAAGTATATATATATATATTCCTTTCATGAATTGCACTATGGCATGCCCTCCTTCAAAAGGTGATATTTTAAAAATCAACATGTAAACATCACGATATCCTTCTACTCAGAACAAACTGACAAAGCGTGTCGATACTTTATTGGTAATTCGCGCTACGTAACATAAAATACACACAGAAACGTGTATTCACACATCAATTAACATGAATCAGTTTCGAATATCATCTCACATTACATGTGATTAGTGCTGGATAGTCCAGTGAACGCATAACTAAAGGCTGATATCGAGAGATTAAAACAAACCAAACAGAACAGTCATCCTCACTGATAGTCTTTCGGCACTTCAGTCTATAGACACCGGAAATAACTCGTGATCAGTAACGCTAAATTCGATTCTATGTTCTCTATAAGAGTATCGCGGTAGAACTAGTATATATCCTGTCCTACATTGATATTCTCGTCAACGAAAGAGCTGACAAACAAACTAAGAAAGCAATAAATTATAACTAAATTAACATCGATGTCAAAATTACAAAAAAAAAACTTTTATCACTAAAAAGATAATGCAAAAATCGAAAAGAATTTGAAGTGACCAGAGAAATTCATACAACTTGAGACAAATTATAGAAAAATCTATTGTAAAGACAAATATACGGTTATAGTAAATCGGATGACAAAACCATCACACGATAAAGTTTAGGCACAACAAAATTTAATTCGAATGAAACACATATAATAAAATTGTGAGTGCTGTGATAATGTGAAAAAACATCGATCATAATCAATAATTTACCATTAAAACACAGAGTCAACAGAATCGAAAACTATCCGTAATATAGAAATGCTGGACTTAGTTACGTTTGCATATATGTCTTATCGCCCCTTATCAAACACAATAAAATCTGCTATTTATGGATTGAATTGGCAAAACAAAGTAAAAAATATCTAATAAAGAAATGTTCTCGTTAAAACTGAACATTATAGTGAGTGAAAGAAAAGTAAAGTAAAAAAAAATCCATAAAAATCTCAAAAAAAAAAAAATACCGAGATGTCAACACAACCACAATCCAAATTCAAATTCAATAAAACTTGGGCAAAATAAAGCAAAAGAAAGATTTACACCGCGACAACTGAAAAAGAACAAGGATTATAAGACCAGATGTTCTGGAAGAATGATTGTCTTTTGCTTCAGCGACGATACCCACCATGTAAACTTCGGTGAATCCAAGTAAGTAATTTCATGATCTCTAATGAGAACAAGGTTTACAACAACAGAACTAACAGGCAAACTAAGGAGCATCAAACACGTCCAGCTTCATATCGCAAAAAGAAATATATTTTTATCAATGGGATCGCTATAACGGCCATTTAGGACGAACCTGCTTTTGAGATTACCTGTGTTAAGTATTACGGTTTTCATTGTGTGTGCGTGCTTCTCAGTAGTGTTCTTCCTGTCACGTCCTAACAGCCGGGTATCGGCACGCGATATTTGCCATCACGTGACGTCACAATTAAAATATCAAATTAATTTCTCCTTCTAACCACAGAGGAACGTATTGAAATCGAATCGGACGATTTGGAGAAAAATTTATAATATTTTGGCAATGTGCCAGTAAAACAATAAAAAAATAAAAGAAGTTTCGACAACTGCTAACTAAGCAAACACTTACATAGGGTTGTTCTATCCCTGTCCACAGAACCGGCCCATATTTGATTACTTTTCTCGAGGGCCTAAAAATCAATAATAAAATGTAATTTTGTTCTGAAACTTATTCATCAACATCACATTGAATGTGCGTCGGAGTTGATGACGTTATCAATATTTGACATTGTTGAGCTACATAAAATGATGACGTTACACTATCGTGCGTAGCGTCATAGCGCGTGCGTGCTACCTTAACCCACCTTTTGCGAGATAAGTTTTCTAATCACATTAGCCATAAATACTGGATTTCGTTGTACCTCTGACTCGGGCTGACATTAGGGCAACATTTTATTTTCCCCTCGAACGATATTCTGTTACAGATTACCAGTTCTCGACAAATATATATCGATTTTGTACACGTACATGTAAGAGATTCCAGTATCATCAGTTTTTCAAGCCCTCCTTACTTTCGTTTTATATTGTAAAATTATAATTATTTTTGTGATTTTTTCCAGTTATGCGAAACAACAAATAAAACAAACCACTGCGAAATAAGAAAAGACTATCGACGGTTTTGATGTTAACCCTAATAGTGATTGGTATCAGTGCTTGTAGATTTTAGACCTTGTAAATTATTTTATCGAAACATGTCAAATGTTACACACTGACGATAAGCAATATGTAACCTGTCTACTTGATCGAGTTTGTTAGGAAACAGACAAGATATACATGTAATTCACCAAAACTATGTACTCACAAATTTCTACTAACTCCTAAAAATAAACAAAAAATTGTTTTTAACTTTTTTTATCGCAAACAATGTTTTTTTTTCTATGATAACGATAGCTGTAAATTCTACATGTTTTTACCTCATGTTTAGATGTTTTGATATACCACGTGAATGAGTGTTTTGATAACGTATTACTTAGGGGAATCTCTCTATGTTATCATTCCCAAGCGGGAACCGGGAACCGAAAACCGGAGAAGTTTTGCGTTCATCTGTCTGTCCTTCTGTCTTTTCTTTAGTCCTTCTGCCCCTCTCTATCTATTCCGGGCTCTACCTTCAACATTACAAAATGTAATAATGGAAACCTAATACTTGGGATATGAATTAACCCTGGTGAAACGGTGTATCACATATCAACAGTAGGTCACTCTGACCTACATTTTGACCTTCAACTTACATACGAAAAGAAGTTTGTCCAGTCCCTATTTTTTACACTGATAACGACGAGAACTTTATACTTGGGATAAGGGTACAGTAAGAAAATAGGTCACATATCTACAGTAGGTCACTATGACCTATATTTTGGCATTTGACCTATATCAAGAAAACGTTTGGCCCTATCATCATGGGAACTTGTTACTCAGAATATGGGTTCATCTTGGTGAGACAGGTGTGTAACGTATGAAACATGAGTCACTTTCACATAAATTTTGACTTTAAACCAACATCAAATAAACAGTTTGTTCTACATTAGTAATCACGTGACTTTGGTACTCAGTAAAC